ACATGGACAAGGACAAGGAAGGGAGAACTCCAACTGGGTCTGGCACGGATGAGGAGCAGACCAAAGCACTAACTCAAGGCCAACGACCAAACCTCGATAGCGACCTGAACAACTCCAAAGACCTGCCATCCACTGCAAACACACAAACCAATCCACTACTACAACCTAGACCCACCTGATGACAATGAGGATCCAGAGACGCGCACAAACACCTAATAACTAGCCCAAGGAACTAGAGACCCTCCATCGAAACGAAGCAGATGTCAATCGATCCTGACCAAGCAAGACATTCCGCTGAAGAGAGGAACCTCTCATACGGCAACAAGCAGCAAAAGAAATCGGCTTGATTCATCCACAAAAACCAAAACCAAATTCACCAGCCAACATGTACCACAAGAAGAACCAAAAAGAAGCATAACATAGCCAAGAACAATCTATAACTTTAAGGAGAACCAAGCGAGAAGATCGAGCCACCGGAAGTCGCACTCACCAACCTTCCACCGTCATCAGCAGAAAAAAGCCAGGAAGGAGAGAAGACCCAATACTAACCTTACCACAAGAAGCTCCAACAGCATCTACAAACCAGACATACAACACTCGAGACGAAGAGACAAAGGCCCAAGGAAAGGTGGAGAACTCAGCACTGGCGAAACCCCAAAGAGCGAAGAGAAGCTAGAAGGCGCACCAGGATGGAACAAAGGCCACAAACCGAATCACTGGAGCTAAGAAGCCTTCACAAACCACTGGCTACACCGAACCTCAACAACTCTCCGACCAAGGAGCCCCAACCAGACAAAGAAACCCCAAACTCTGAACAAAGCCCGGCTTCAGCAACACCGCAAGATCCCGACCACAAAAGATGAAAAGGGAGAGGAGAAGCCGAGACCAAACCAAATGGAGAGGCATCGAGCAACGGAGCAACGGCGGAGAAAACCTAAAACCCGATCTGGAGAGAAAACTCATGAGAAATCTAGAAAACTAAGAGCATAGAAGACTAAGCAGTAAGAAAAGGGGTCCTTTCCGGCGAATTAGGGCTGGTCCTAGGGGGGGAGTGTGAGAGGAAATGGTGGCCGTAATAGTCGCAGGCCCGCACGAAGGAAAGATTTGGAGAATATTTCAATATCTAACGTGTTTGGAAAGTTAGAGGATAATTTGAGATCTTCCGAAATTGAGAGAGAAGATATGATTATGGAAGTTAATAAGAAAAATATTAATAATCTCAATCAAGGAGTGGTGGAGAGGAGTGATACACAAGGCAAAAAGTTGGTTTTCACGGTTGCGTCGTATGAAGGAAGGAATGTGGGCCGATATAGAGGAGAGGATAAGAAGATAGGGGAGAAAAAGATCTTGGGAAAA